AATTTTAAACCATTCAGTGTTCCCATGTTCTGTTCGAACAACTGCCTCTTGGTCCAGGCACAGATTCCTCATGAGCACAATTAAGTGTTCTGGAATACTCATACAACCAGGGGTTACATATCTTTAAAGGGCAGGAGAACATTCTGGAGTGAGTGAAGGGAAACATGGAAGCTCACCGTGAATTAAGAACGGCCTGTTAAGACACAACACTATTTTTTATGGCTGTTGGGTTTACCCTGAGTTCTAGAAGCAGCACGACTCTGAGCCCCCAGAGGAGCAGGAGGGGAGGGATCCACAACAGCAGTTCTGCCTCAGGGAGGCCTTGAGACCAGGAACATGGGTACCAGGGAGCTCTGTGCCGCCAGGCTCCCAGGCTCCAGTCACGTCTCATCTGCATCAGAATAGCGGTTTAGGCAGCGGGTCAGTGCTCCCAGCCCTGCCTTTCTGGGGTCTTCACAAGTGACTTGTCATGGGACGAAGTGGGCAACATTAGGCGTGGGAAGGTGCCCCTGAAGAAGTGATTCCACATGGGAGAGATGGGTCATGGAACCGGTGCAGGAGGAAGTCTGCATCACAGAGACGTCTGACTCGGTGCACTCGGTGGGCAGACGGTGCCACAGACTCTCAGTACAGCATAGCAAACACCTGTCTGGTCTGTGCATGTCCACAACCAGCGAGTGTCCCCCCTCTGGCCGCTCCTTCACCGTGCGCAGTGCTCTTCTCTGGAGAGGGACCCCTCCTGGGGATAAGCTGGCAGCTTTCTGGTGTGCTCCCTTGAGGATTCGCTGTTGAATTCGTTTGTGGAGGGAGATCGCCAGGCCTGGAAAACCTGAACGAGACCCATTGCCATGGGGTTGATTGTGACTCACTGAGAAAGTCTGCCCCAGAGGGTTTCTCAGATGACAGCTTTACCGAAGTGGGCAGCCACACCCTCTCCCACAGATGCTTCCGGGCCCAAATTGCTGACCTTTTGATTAGCAGCTCCATGTGTAACCAGTGTGTCACCAGGGTTGCTTGCCAGGCCTGGTGTTCCCCTCCCAGGTCCCTGTTCACCCAGAATCTCGGCCTGTGGCCTTACGTGGAGATAAGGGTCTTGGCAGATGTGATTTGTTAACAGGTGGAAGGAGGTACAGACAGAGCAGTTGACAGGTAACACAAGGGCAGACCGATTACAGGCATGTGGTCACAAGACAGAACCAACGCCTGCGGTTCTCCCCTGGAGCTCCCGCGGCTTGTGCCCTGCCAGTGCCCAGGGTCACTTTGTTTCCACAGCTCTGGGGGCTACAGACCCTGAGGGTGTCACACTACACCTGGGGGAGACCCTGCCTTCAGGCCAGGGAGCTCCTGAGGAGGTGGCCTGCGCTGCTCTCAATTTCCTGGTGCCCACCAAGAGCCTGGGCACCTTGGCCATTTGTTTTGGGAGAATGAGTGCAACTCTGAGTAAGAGTGGGTGTGTCTCTGTCACACACACAAGTACACACTCAGAACCTCCCGGATACACAGTTCACTCGCCTGTTCTGACACGCTCACACTCACGTCCCCACACATTTTACACACCCTCACATCCACTCACACGGTAGAAACGCTCCATGAGTTCATGTATGCACATGTGTTCATCCAGTCATGTGCTCACACTCACACCTGTTCCCACCCTCACATTCACACTTGCTCACTCATCCTCACACTCACATTCTCATACTCCCTCACAAGTGCTCACACTCACCTGTACTCACACCTATTCACACCCTCACATTCACACATGCTCTCATGCTCTGACATGTTCACACATGTGTAAACCTATCCACTTACATTCCGACAGTCTGACCGTTACCTCCATACTCACTCACACACGTGCCTTCACTGACCTTGTCACTGTCTCCCTCCAGGTGCACAGGATCTACCGGGGGACTGACGGAAGCTTCCAGAAGGCGCAGACAGAGTGGAGCTCGGGCACATGGCGGAACCCGCCATCGAGGGAGGCTCAGTTCAACAACTTTTCAGGGAACAGCCTGCCCGAGTACCCCACTGTGCCCAGCTACCCAGGAGGTGGCGGCCATTGGCCCTGAGCGGCTGGCCGGCCTCTGCACTGCCCACAGCGTCTTCCCCACACGCCCTTGTCCAGCAGGCTGACGGGGAGCCGGTGCCATTCCGGGTGTGCTGTGGTCCCCACAGACCCCTCTCCAGCAGGCTGGTAGGGCGCTGGTGCCATCGCTGGGTGGGCTAGGGTCCCCAGCCAGGTCAGGGGCTGTGGAATGTTTTCAGGGGCTGTGCTACATTCATCTCATGTCCAAGAGCAGATCTGCTCAGCACTGCCTCGAGACCCCCAGCCTGTGCTGTCCAGACAGGGGACCCCTAGTGCCCCATGACACTTGCTGCCTTGTCTTCTGCGTGCAGCCCTGTACCATCATGGTCATGGGAGTCTGACTAGCAGATGGCAGCAGGCTGACCTCCGTCCCACCTTCCACAGCTGAGCGAACCCCAGCCCCCCACCCCCCTTCCAGCCTCGGCCAGAGCTGACTTCTCAGCCTTGGAGCCAGGAGGAGAACGTGGTGGGCATGGTGGCTCCAGGTCCCCTGCAGGTGGCAGTGGGCTCAGTTGATGGCCCTTTGTCCACCGGGGCCCCTGCTGCTCATAGCCAGAGCAGCAGTGTGGACCACTACATGTTCCTATCTCCTGCCCACTGCCAGCATCCTTCATCTCGTCCTGGGGAACAGGGAATTTTAGAGCCTCTCCCCACAAACCAGGAAGCCACGGGTGGATCCCTGTGGAGGAATGGGGCCAGTGTGTCTGAGGGTCAGAGGGGAATGGCCCTGCCAAAAGTCTCCACCCACACAGGGACGTCTTAAAAGGAGACATTGATGCATCTGTGCCTTATGGAGAAAGTTAGCTGCCGTGTCCTCTGTCCTGGGGCCAGCACCCCAATACTTCCTCAACCCCTAACTGCCCCTCTTCAGGGACCCCAGCAGTTCTGCCCTCTAGGCTGTTGGGGCCACGCCACCCAGCTCCCCTGTGCAGCGAGTGCTGAGTTCAAAGGTGAGGGCTCAGTGCAGCTGGGCTCTTCCAGTGGCCGACCCAGTGTGGGCGAAGTGCCTTTGGGGACACCTATAAGCCCCTCCCCCGCTGTGTTTTGCATTCTCGTTATTATATTGTCTTTTGTTACATGAATAAACCCTCTTTGTGCATCACGTGGAGTGGGTGGGCTATGTGTGGACATGTGTGTGTTTATTGGACGTGTGTGTGTGCGCGCACATTTGCGAGCATGTCTGGCTATGGGAATTACTGTGAATGTGGTGTGCACAGGTCTGTGAGTGTTCACAAGCATTTGCAAGTGTGGTTCCTGGCCTGGCCTCTCCAATAAAAGGCCTCAGAGCAGGCAGCACAGACCACAATCCACCCCTTGTATGCTAGCGACCTCGTGGCTTCTCCCGACTACCCCCGGGGACAAGGGAGACTCCTTGGTATTTCCTTCAAACAGGTCTTTCTTGCTCAAAAGTCCGTTAATATGGAAAGAAGCCCGCAGTGCGGAGACGTACTCACCCCTGTAAAATAACGGCCAGGAAGACTGCAGTGGCTCACGGCGTTGTGGGTGGGTACTCCTGGGTGGAGTGGACAGCCGCCAGCCCTGGGCCGATGTGGTCCAGAGCCAGCACCTGGAAATCAAGAAGTAGGGGTGCCACTTGGTAGTCTAATGAATACACAAGCCTTTCAACATCCAGGGGTTCGTGGACAGTTGGGAGAGGGCACAGCCGGTAAGGAGAGTGTGGTCGTTGGGATGGAAGGTGAGCGCCCAGGTCCACAGTCCTGGAAAGACGTGGGCCCGAGGGGCATCTGCATGCACTCAAACCCCCACCCCGAGTTTCTCGGTTATCAAGTATAGAGATGACTCATATCCACCCTTTTTAAACGGACAAATCAGTACTTTTAGTGTGTTCAGAGATGTGCAGCTGGTGAAACAAACCAACCCTAATGTCCTGGCCCGAGATGAAGGCGTCTCTGGTTGAGTTCAAACTGCCTGTTAACCTGTTGGTCTGCCCCCAGGCACCACACACAGGTGAAGATGGGACCTTAGAGCATCAGGGACCACGAGACCCCCTCTTCCCAGCCTGGCTTCTCCACTGCCTTCCTGGGACTCACCCCAGGACGTTAAAAAGTACATTGCATTTTGTTTAATAATTTAATCCTACCCTTTCATTCTGTTTTAACTTTATTTCATTCGGTTTTAATTCATCTTTAAATTGATTGTATTGGATTCATTGTTTTACTGATTTTACTTGCTTAATTTCCCCTATTTTATTTTAATTTAATTGATTAAATTTTATTAATTTATGTATTTGGCACTGTCCCATTCTCTGTACTTATTAATTTTAATTAATTCTATGTAATTTATTTTCTGGAGTCCTGCCATGGCCGGCAAGGGCAATGTGAATGGAAAGGTGGGTGGTTCCAATGCACCAACAGCTCCTCAGAAACCCCATTCAGGGTCATTTAAAAATAACAAAAAAATACTTTATTTCATTTAAT